GGGCTCGATCCCAGGACCCTGGGATCATGACCTGAGCCAAAGGTAGAAGCTTAACGACTGAGCCACCCAGGCACCCCTGCATCATTATTTTTATGTTCCACTAAGAAAAAGAAAGAAAAAACTTGCCAATTAAATCATGACATGCCACTGATTGTAAGATACATTCCTATTTCAGAAATGTTAAAAGGTAAAGAAAATACCTATCTTAGCATTGATGAACTAGGGTACCAAAAGTCATGCCCAATACTAGCTAATCATAAATGCTGACTCTCAATATGTTCAGAAAATGTTTTGTTTGTTGATTTTTAAGAAAGTAGTTTTTATTGAGAAACTGTTGGTGGAGTAAATGACTGCATTAATATGGCAATGATGGCAATTTCAGTCGGTACCTTAAAAGACGGATAGCTTGGACAAAGTCATCTTCAAGATCAATAAGTATACAAATACTTCAATCCAAGAACAGGGTTTACTCAAAAAAGTTCTGAGCAAGGAGAATGTGAATTCTCATGATTATCTCTGTGGCTTCAGGCAAATCTGGTAGGTAATCTGGGCCTTGGTTTCCTTACCTATGAAAAGACTAGGTTGGCCTAGAATCTCATTTCTAACTCATCTCTCATTTCCCAGCTCTGTTTTATGAGTCTAGGATCCTGGCTTCATGTTGTCCCATCTCAACGGTCCAGATATCAAGTTGAAATACATCCAAGGTAGAAAATTCTCTTGAGACGTATATTCTACCGACCTTAAGCTTTAGCGGGATACTCTAAATTTGTTGAGTGAAGACATGAATGAATGTCTGTATACCCTAAGAATTCTTTGCTAACAAATTCTGAATACTAAGCTATAATATTTGTCTCTGCATGACTCTGCTGAGGACACTGACCCTTCAGTATTAAGACTGAAAGGGAGGGCTTACCTCTGCTGCCCTGGATCTCCCCTTCAGTGAAGACATCCTCATCTTCAAAGCATCTCTTATCTGAAGAAACAATGACAGTGAAAAAATGACAACATCCCTCAAACCCAGACCCATGCCTTGAAACTTCGAGACCACTAATCCTGGCAGAAGCAGCATCAGATGGCTTAGCATAGTGCTTAGCCAATAATAAGACTTGGATAAAAGTTGAGGTGTAGTTATAATTCCATTTAGGATTAAAATTAAAATTCTGGCTATTATAATTAGATTTGGGATTAAAATTAAAATTAAAATTCCGGTACGGTTTTCATTCTTTTAGATACACTCACACACAGCCTCCTGTTGACTTAAGTCAACAAATGAGAGAGTAGAGTTCTCTCCTTTCCTCCTCTCAGCTGATGCCTGAAGCACCCGCATAAACTCACCCCCATGGACCAGGCTTTCTGATCAAAACTGCCTCATCCCCCGGCTACCCTGAGCCACATGGAAATTTTTACAATGAGAGAAACAAATTCAAATTACCTTGTGGTCCATAATGGTTCCAAACAGCAAGATGAAGAACCCCTATGGCAAAATTCAACAGAAGTATGAGGGATGGTTTGGCAGACAACATCCCCATTGTAATTTTAATACCACTCTTCTAGATATCTTCCAGGACAGTTATTGGGTATTAGAAACTTCAGCGTCTACTGATTCAGAGAAAATGCATTGGTAAGTATTTTCTGTGACTGTACCTCAAAGAGGGTCACCTTCATTTTTGTGTGTGACAGTTATTGATATTTATTGAAAGGCTGCAGATGTAGGATGGTGTTTCTCCACCTTATCACATCTGTTTACTTTCTTTCCAAATATTAAGTAGTTGTTCTTATTCATCATAACAGTAACATGACATAACATGACATGGAATCCTGTAGCTCAAAGTGACAATCATGGAAGGTTTCTTGAGAAGTGAAGCCTGTTACAGTTTACTTTCAGTTGGGGTTAAAAGTCACGAAACGGCAGGGTCTCTGAGCTGGTGGAATAAGTTTATGCATAAAAGAGAGAAAACTACAGAGATCTAAAAGACCAGAGTCTCTTCAAGTTTAAATTATTTGTTTACCTATAAAGTCACAATAATTGATAGCCAATCTTTTTAAATGGTGGAAGTTGAAGTTAAGAAAATTCTGGATCTTGCCATGAGAGTGGAAGGAAGGCTGGGTTTCCAAGGATAGTCTCATGGCAGAGAAATGCTAATCAGAAGATGGAAATTTTTTAAATGTGAGTCACAGGGAAAGCTTGCTGAGAAAAGTTGGAGTGTATTTAACTAAAAGTGTTTCAGTATTTTTCTTTCTTTCAAGAAAAGAGAAAAAGAAGTGATTCGGAAAAGAAACAGAATAAAACTTTCTGGGGTTTAATTAAGTTGCAAAGTAAAAAATTAAAAAAAATAGAATGAGATCATTAGTCACCAAAGTAACTTCAAGAGTCGGGGAGATTTATGTCAGTCCAAGAGCTTTTGATCAAAAAAAAAACAAAAACAAAAACAAAAAACCACCAACAACAACCATAAGTTAAATGCTTCTCTTTAAAGCCATGCAAGGCAAAGCGTGAAATAAATGTTCTCCATAGTTATTAAAGAAGTATGAGTAAGATATATAATTGATCTGAGCTGACATTTCTTAAAAGTCTGCTTTGTGTTTTGTACCATGTTTTTAAATAGAGTAATAGTGACACGTTAATAGGAATACATTGCTGCTTTACTAAGCAGTTATATTTATATATTTAAAGCAGTGGTTGGGAATTTGTGTGTGTGTGTGTGTGAAGAACCAGATAATAAATATTTTTGGCTTTGCGGGCTACACAGTTTCTGTTAGAACTGCTCAACTTTGCCATCGTAGCTCAAAAGCAACCACAGGCAAAATGTAAACGAACGTGTATGGCTTTATTCCAGGAAACCTATTTACAAAAACAGGCAGCAGGCTGGAGTTTGCCAACCCCTGATTAAAAGCACAATTAAGGATATGAACCTGCCAAACTTGCTATTACTCATAGGTATGGAAAGCAGTCTGGCTAGTGACAGCTTCCCAAAAGTACAAGTTCAGTAGCCAACATAGAGTAAAGCAACTATTAGAGGGATAATTTTGCCAAACCAAGTATGGTAGAGCAAGAAAAGAAAAGAAAAGAAAAGAAGAGAGAGATGATCTCAGATTCGTATCTTTATTTTACTAAGGAGATGGGTGAGGCCCAGAGAAAAGTGACAGTTCTAGGGTCAGGCAACATGCAGCAAGATCCATTTCAATGAAGAAGAACCTAGATTTATTTCACAGGAAAGAGCCATGAGAACTCCCAACTGGTTAACACTCAAAGAGAATGGCAGGTCCTGTCTCGTCATACTATGGAAAATGACTATTTCACTGAGTTCCCAACTGCTTGAGAAAGGATAAAAACTTCTTTGTTTTGAGGCATACCATGTGAGTGTAGACTCACACATCTTTGACCAAAGACTGGTTCTCTATAAGTGAAGGCCAACTTCTTCTGACACTGAAACTTCAGGAGGGATACAGGTGGATCGGTTGAGGACAGAAGGAAAGAGGTTCCCACCCAGTCAGCCTGATCAGCTAAATCCAACTTGACGATCAATAGGGTGAGAGATGCCACAGCTCAATGTCTCTAAGACATGGAAAGAAATGAAAGGCACATTTTGTATTCTGTATTTTTCAATCATAGCCTTTTTTTTTTTGTCATATAGCCAGAATAGCAAATGATAAAATAAAAGTAACATCTCATAAATAAAATACTAATTAACAATATTAATGAATAAAATAAGTCTCTCTCTCTTGGTACTTACCTGGAAAGCATTGAGAAGGGCAAAGATTATATGGAATATCAAGGAAGTGCCTTCTAGAAGTGTAGCTACTCCAAAACCCCAGGTCAGTCCCAGCAATGGGGTGAGGATGGCAACATTTTTGCTGATCCTCATAATTATGGCCAGATCCTGAGACTTGGAACTGCCAATAGAGGGCCTCTGAGTGTTGACAGCAACAACCAAAACCACCACAAGATTCACGGCCACAATGACTAAGGCTGGGACGGCAAATGCTAAAAGGGCTTTGGTACTGTCCCAGTTAAGCCAACAGGCATCGGGTCTCATGTAGCCCTTCTCTGGCACTGTGACAGCAACTGTGGTGCCAGCAATGACCAACGGGCACCCATAGCCAACGGCAAAGCCAATGGCCATCATGCGGGATTTCATCATCCTACAGAAAACAACCAATATTCCGTAGATGATGAGCAGTGCTTGGAAGAACATCCAGAAAAACAGAGAGAGGTAGAAGAAGTGGCTGAAAAATGTCAGTGCAACACACCAGTTGGAGTCCTGGGCCTTTTTGTGGAAGTTAGAGTTTATGATGAACCACACATTAGCAATCAGGAGCGACACGGCTATGTTCACGATGCACACGTGACGTATGTATGACACCTCCGTCACAACCACCCGGGACCACACTGCGGCTTCGACGATCAGGCAAAGAATCAAGCTAAAGATGGAGATGCTGAGCCCAATGCAGGTGATGTAGTCCAAGACTTTGTTGTCTATAGATTTGGGGGACATTAGAATGGAAAAGGACATCACCATGTTGGTGTAGTTACACAAGCATTTCACTCTGTTCATGATCTCCAACGTGGTTTCACAGGCAGTCTCATCCCACCTCCTTTTCCTCGAGTGCCAGCCAACACACTGTGCCCTGGCACTGCGGGATTTGTTGATCTTCTCGAAGGTGAATAAGACTTGCTTCAGTCCTTCTGGTAAAATCACCGAAAGGACGAGACCATTTACAGGTCTAGGAAGACTCACATTTTGCAAGTGGACTTCCCTCAGTATGGTCCCCAAGGTGGGAAAGGCTATGCTGATGGCTTGGGATGCATTTGGTGGCAGGTTCCACAGCTCTTGCGTGGGAATTTCTATCATTCCTAAGATACCCTCTGTTGTACTGTTCATGCTTGCGGAGAAATTGAACTTCTCCTCTGAGGTATTGTGGTTGATGCGAAGCCCTTTTGCCTGGATGAAGAGTTCATCCACAAGGTTCTCAGATTCATTGTGGAGGCGGAGTTGCCTCGCAAACAGATTCACTGACTGCAACAAATCCGAGCTGGTATTTTTGTCTGGAATGAAAGCCCAATTTGAAATGGCTGCTGTGTCAAGGATGTGGTTGGCCACTTCACTATAACTCTGCAATGGAGAAAAAGTGGAAATTATGCTAAGGATTTACACGTTATTGTAGAAAGTCCATTTCTAAAACCTGAAATTTCTAAAGATCAAGTGATCGGATCTTATTTGACATATTGCTCTTCAAATTCATTGTTTATTAGAATCTCATGCTGAGAGATGAGTCCTTCAGAGAGGGAAGTAAAGTAAAACAATGATTAAAATAAAATAAAAATCATAGGTAAAGTTTACCTGCTTTATTATGGGCCCCGGGGCAGCATTTCCAAACTGCAGTCTTTATAACCCAAGATTCTCATGAGATATTAATGATTGTTTAATGGAGGGAATTGGTGGTAGATTCTATAAAAACCTAAATTTGAGAAATACTGCATACTGTATCTCTATAACCCCCCCTTTTATAAAGAGGGTCAAACCTCATTAACACGTGAAAAACTTTAAAAAGTCCTGCCAGAAGAAACCTGCTTAACTTTGTTTAACCCAGAATTCCTACCTCTGCTAGGTACAGATCTCCCTTTTAGAAACAGAGCCTCCATTAACATTTCTCCAAATAATTATGTTCTACAGAATGAAATTTGGGCAAGACCGGAGCAGACACAGTCTTGCTCACAGCCATCCTTTTGGGACATTTTCTTGAAAATAGTAAGTCTGTACAAAAACATGTATTAAAAATGTGCCAACTTCTTGAAAACTTACATAAACTAGAGTGAATCAATATGCAAAATTGAAATAAAATGCCTATCCTTGTTGTTACGGTTGCTGTGGCTGTCATATTTTGGACCCTGAAAAGTACATTTGAAACTGTGAAAAGGCAAGATTTGGTTTAAAAAAAAAGAAGAAATCTGTCAGTTTTTTTAACGAAATTATCAAAAAATACCTTCATTTTATCTTGGGTAACATTATCAGACAAATCTGTAGAAATATTTCTTAGTAACTCCACTATAAATGCGATGTTTCCAGACGTGGCTTCTGATGATTTCACAACATCGAGTATGCAGGCATAATCAATTGGACAGTTCCTGCGGATTCCTTGAGCTACACTCTTCACAGGCTCTGGTGCTCGAAAGTCAAGAACGTGCACGGGTATGGATGATGCTGCTAGAGGAAGGCGTGATGCACTATTGAAGTCCTGCTTTAAAAAAAAAAAAATCGCTCAAAAATGATTAAATACCTAACATATGTCAGAGTAAAGGAGCTAAGGCACCAATACACCACGTGGGGAAAAGAGAGAAGCAAGTAGTCATAAAAGGGGTTTAGATGCCAAGAAAGACGGAAAGAGTAAGATGGAGTCACACACAAATGAGAAGTTCCATCAAAATTCCCACGAGATCAGGATACTGACCTATTGCTTTCAGGACAGTGGTTTTAACTCAAGTGTGATAACAAGACAGTTTTCTCCAGAGATGTGGAAAAATGCTAAAATCAAAATCTGTCTACTAATTTTAATTTTTTGAAAGGGGAGTCTCATGGAATTTGTGTGTGGGGGGGTGGATTTGGAGGTTGGCAGGATAAAGAATACTAAATTGCAATTTCAAGAAGTTTAGAGTTCACTAATTAGACGAAGGTACACACAAATCCATCTTTAGAGCTCAAACTTTAACCTCTATAAGCATTTACCATTGTGTGAATGAGTTTCAGATCTATTTTTAAGAAAAGATGTTGAGAGGGAGAGAGAGTGGCGGGGGGGCGGAGAGTGTCTGAGAATTTGGGTAAGGAAGGAAGGAAGGAGAAAAGACAAATTTCACCCACTCTGCCATTTTCCCAAATCTAGATGTGAGATTGTTGCGCCGAACAGAACACAGGAAAATGCCTCTACCATCTCCTGGGAAATTAGCCCTGGAAGCCAATAATATGCAAATGTGTCACCTTAAAGAGTGTCTCCACAGAAAGGCTTGTACATGTTTCAGTTGATTTTTGCCACTTGTTTTGATGACATGTAAACCCTATTTCTCCATGAAAGGGCTGAGCACAGGGCTGGCTGCAGTTGGAAGCAGGGATGCAAGGTCCTCGGCATTTCTCTGAAAAGGAAAAGAGAGACGAGGGAGCCTAATTAGCGTTGCTGCGCTCTGCTGAGGCAGCTGACTCATTCTAGGGATTTGGGAATTGCTTGCTTCCCAGAGGAGGTGACACTGAGCAGTGTCCTCAGCACCAAGTAAGGCGTGCCAGGCAGACTGCGGCGCTGATGTGGAGGCAGAGTGAACTGCACATGGAGAGGAGAGGTTGCAGGTCAGACAGAAAGGCTAGTTTAGAGCATCTGAGGGGAGTGGGGAAAGAGATGAGGATGGGAGAAAAGCAGGAGTCAAGACATGAAGGACTTTGAATTCTGTGCGAATATGGGGGTTACCAGAAAACATGATTGGATTTTTGAAAGATAATTAACAATAGCATAGAGCAGAAAGCAGTAAAATTTTCTCTAAAGGCCCAGATAGAGTTGCCAGATAAAATAAAGAAAGCCCAGTTAAATACTAATTTTATTTTCAGACACAGTCGATTCTCATTATTTGTAGTAGTTATGGTCTATGGAGTTGCTTCCACAAACACTGAATGAGGGGAAATCAAGGCAGGTTCTTACAAGCTTCTTCTCACATTTTTATCAACTGATTAATATACGAGCTCATTTTACGTGTGTTTCTATTTAAAGACACTTTATTTATGTTGTTGATTCATTAACATTGAACTCATGGCCAATAGCACCGTAACTCATAACAGCACATGAACAAAACTTATCCAACATGTGAATTTTCTCCTTGAGACACATCACAGTCTCCTTAGGAACACCAGACAGCACTTCAGAACTACACTGAGGGCCATTTTAAACAGGAAAATCACAAACAAAAGCACAAAATGCAAAAAGTATGGTATTAGTAATGCCACAAAAAGAACACTTGTTTATAGTAGGACAACTGAAACAAGAAGGCAGAGAGCCACCTTGTTTGGCTGGGAACTTGCACCTTAGCTAATTCAATTTTTCTTCTGTCTGTGAATGATCCAGAAAGCACTGTGAGTAGTGATTTAGGGGTTACAAATAAGTTTCAATGAACAGGGGAATTTACAAATACAAAATCCATGAATAACAGGGATCAACTGAAAATATTCAGTTAAACAATGAATAAGTTTCTAGTGTTCATATGACCCATGCAATATCATCCATGGTTTATCTGATATTTAAGTTTAATGAGGCATTGCATATTTTTATTTGCTAAATATGACCACTCTAGGCAGAGTATAAATATTTTCAGCGTTGCAGGCCATGTGGTCTTTATCAAAACTACTTAACTCTGCCTTTGTGACATAAGACAATCAAAGACAATATGTAAATAAATGGGCATGGCTCTGTTCCAATAAAACTTTATTTCTAAAACCTGGTGGCAGGCCTAATTTGGCCCATGAGTAGAATGGATTGACTTGAGGTAAGGAGCCCAAGAATGAAGTTGTTGAAGGATTCCCAGGAAGAACTGCCTTAGGATAGTGGTAATGGAATGAAAAGAAGTGGGTCCTAATGGAAGCTAGTAAGGTGTTGAAATCAATAAGATGTGGTGACTAATTGTCTGTAAGTCAAAGGAGGCATCTATGTGTATGGCTTGGACAGCTCTGAGGATGACTCCATTCATGGAGAAAGGAAATGAGTAAGTTTGCATTTTTCTTTACCACCTGCCCACTGTCCCTGGTTTTGCAAGTTATTTAAGCTCAGTGCTTCTCAATTTCTTCATCCATACAGTTTGGAGGTGATGCCATAGTCTTGTTACAAACACTGAGGGAGCATCCTGTTAAGCACTTCAATCGGTGTTGCTATAAATGCTCACTGAAGGTTAGCCATCTCTCTCCCTCTTTTCTCAATTCCTCATCTATGTAGAGATGTATCTGTTGCTAAAAAATATATTTGGCAATGTCTGTGCAGAATCCAGTGATCTCTACTATTTGGGTAAGAACCATGTGATTTCACTATCTTACTAGTAATGATTATCTCCACAGTTTATCTCTGAGTTTTTGAGAGTAACCCGTCTCACCAACACAATACCTATCTTACATCACTTCAATAGACTTCTCAGCACCAGAGTGTTATGTACATTTAAGCATTCTGAAAATATCTTCGCATGAAGGAATGAATTCTTCCGTGTTCCCTCTTCTGTCTCTTGTTAGCTCATTAGTTCAAACAGATTTCCCTTTGGGGGCTTAAAGTGACCACTTGTCTTCTGCTCTAGAATGCATGTGAATAATTTGCCAACTTGGGTCATTGTCTATGCCATGGATAATGGTATAGTTGTAAGAGAGTCTATCAATACTGGTAAACAATGAGAACTTGTTAGAGACTGTTATTCCAGTTGAAAGCTTGCGGTCTGGGGACGTGCTCGGCAATATCCGTGCCCTTCATTTACTCTGCCCATGCTCCATATGGAAGAAGACTGTTCTGTAGACACGTACCTTGTATCCTTCCAGTCTTGAGTTTCCCTTCAGGATGTTGAAGTTTATCTCCATCCTGTAAAACATAAATTCCCAAAGGTCCTCTTTACTGTGGGACTCTCCTCTCTTATCTCAACGTACAGGCTCCATGTGGAGATGAAGAGAAAATGTGTTGAGGACTCAGAAGAAAACTGCACCAGGTCCACGTGTGATGTCACGGGAATTTGCAGACAGAAGCACTGAGGTGAGCATAGACAGAGAAAAAACTCTCCTCTGAGGAGGGCTAGAACCTTGCCAGTGGTCACTTGGCCCCTGAGGGTCAGGTTAGTGGATTGGGTACATATTTTGGAAAGCTTAAGTACCCAGGGAGAAAAGAGAAGTAACAGTTATAATGCTAAGCTGGTCTCCTTCTGTATTAACTGTGACTGTGAAATGGAGCTAATATGATCCACCAGATACCACAGATCCCCAGAGAGGAAGAAATGAGCAGACGCTAGGAATAATCGTTAGGTGAATAGAATAGAATAGAATAGAATAGAATAGAATAGAATAGAATAGAATAGAATAGAATCACACTCTTTTGTAGCTATAAAGGGCTATAAAATATCTAAAAGAAAAAAAAACACCCTTTATGTTATAGATAAGGAAATTAAAACTCAAAGAAGCAAAACAACTTGCACAACTAAGGAGAAGCAAAGGTAAGGTCTAGAGCTGAAATGCTACCTGCCAGGTTGGTATTCCTCCTCCCAACAGCTGCCCGTCTACATTCTCCATGGCTTGCAAAGTGATTTTTCTACTGTACTGTTACACTCTGTTGCACCCTGAAAATATACTGCTGCAGGGCCCAGCCACCTCTCAACTTTTCTTTGTTCCCTTTAAAAAATGTATCAGCAGGAGTAAAATTGTAGTCATTTGAAATTTTATTAAAGATTATGTTATTTATCATAAATTTAGCCATCTAGGAGAACTGACAGATTTCTCATGGGACCACCTGAGAATGGATCAAACTTACTTTTATGTGGATCTTGGATCTATAGTGAGAACATTCTATGGCCAGAAATAACATTAAACAGCAAATCATGGTTGCCTGGGACTTCATTTTCACACATTAGGATCTTCACCTGCAATACAGAATGAAAGTGGATCCAGCTGGAGGTGATAAGGCCCGACAACTCAAAACTTAGCCAACTAACCAACCCCTTGGTGACCCTACTGGGAAGTTGTCCCAACCAAAACCTCCTGCTCCAGGAAAGGACCCCAATATCTACTTTCAGGCCAGCTAACATGTAAAAAAAGGGGAAGACTTTCTCTCAACTGCTAACTTGTCTACAAACAATAGACAGGAATGAGGGACGCACTAGGAAAGATGTATGTTCACCAAGGAGTCATTTCTGATTATTTGATCCACAGTTTTCTTTAATAGTAACATTTATCAAGAACTTTTATTTGCAAATCACTGTTCTGAGCACTTTCTTTGCATTAACTCATTTAATCAGATGGCATAAGACAGTATTACCATCTTCATTTTATCAGTGGAGAAGCTAAGGTACAAAGTGTGGAGCAACTATGAGTCAAGGTCACTCATAAAAAGTGGTGGAGCCAGATTATGCAGCTGGAAAGCCAAGTTCTAGAACGGGACCTCTTAGCAATGGTACTATTGACATTTGGGGCTGGATAGTTCTTTGTTGTCGGAAGCTGTCCTGTAAATTGTAGGATGTGCAGTGGCATCTCTGTCCTCAACCCAGTAGATGCCAGGAACAGCCTCCTCCCCAGCCGTGACAGCCAAAAATGTCTCCAGACATTGCCAAGTGTGCCCTGGGAGAGAAAATTGCTCCCAGTTGAGAACTACAAAGGGGCAAAGGGGGTCAAGTAACTTAAAATGAAATGAATATACACTACTGTCTGTTACTGGAGCAAGCACTGAGACTCTCTCTTATAGATGGATCAACTATTATACAGAGAAACTAGAAGCATGAGAAGGTAACTATTCTTTGGCCATGTCTCTGTTTCTTGCCTTTTTCTTTCTTTAATATATAACTGACATGTAACATTATATTAGTTGCAAGTGTACAACATAATGATTCGATATTTGTATTTTTGTAAAATGATCAGTAAGTCTAGGTAACATCTGTCACCACACATAGTCACAATTATTTTTCTTTTGATAAAGCCTCTTTTCTTGGTAGTTCCATCTTTCAAAGACAAATCTCCAAGAAAGCATCTTTACAACAGTTGAAATTCATCAACATCATCATGATCATCACCACCATACTGTTCTTACAGGATAGTGGAAACTAAGACCATTTATTGGAAACAAAGTTCCTTAGAACAATTTTCTGGTAGTACAGATGCAACAAAGTAAAAATATCATGAACTTTAGATTCAGCATGAGCTAAGGTGTTAATCATATTTATGCTATTGATGAACTATTTGACCTTTGTTGAGCCTATTTTCTTTCTCATCCACCTCATAAAATGTGGGATGATTATACATTCTACCAACCACCCTTTATCAAGTGCCTCCTATTTGCCAGGAACTGTGCCAGATGCTGGGGGTAGGGAAATAAAGGGTGCTGTCATTTCCATAAAGGATGTCCAGTGAGGAATGCAGACAAGTCAAACCAATAGTGAGAAGAGAGATCATCTACATACTGCAGCTAGTGAATAAGGCCAAGCAGAAACTGAGCCTCAGCAAACATAAATTCGTTTATGCTCTAATGGAGACAAACTAACTCTGATCCATCTAGGCTCACCAGGCAATCTGTGGCCAGGGAGCAGAGAAAACTCACTGCTCAGGGATCAGACCTTTCCTGGGTGGAGTCAAGACTAAGATGGACTTTCATGACTCCAGGGAGCCTTCACATGAGAGGATGAATCACAGGCACCTACAGGAAGGCTTCCAAATTGTCTTTGAGCTTAAAATTCTTTGAGTTCCTAACCAATGAACAGGGGGGAAGTATTTTGACTTATACTATCTTCTTGTAGAGCAAGTCTGAGCAAGGGAAAGGAAACATGGCAGAGTGACAGGCAAAGTGTGGTAATGGATTTGCATAGTTGCTGGGATATGTGTGTGGAATTCAAGATCTTCCATGAGTGGGTGGAAAGAAGTTCTCATGTATGCAGCAAATTGGTGGATGGGCACGCTAAGCAATTTGCAATATTAATATTATTTAGGATAGATTTTTAACTGTCCTCACTAAAGGAAATACCAGAAGAACCAGTATAAGTTGTCTTAGACGTGTCTGTATGTTTCACATATACACCTGTGGCTTTCAAAAATTTTTTATCCTGACACAGTAATAAAACAGATCTTACATCATGACTCATTGTGTACAGACACATATATGTATGTATACAGATATCCATATACAAAACTGGAAAGTACATGATTTTTATATTTCAAAAGCTTTTACGTATTACTTATCCTTCCCACCTATGAGCAAGACACTCTGCTGTGTTTGTGATTTTTATCTTGCATTCCGCTCTATCTGACATTCTTTTGGAAACTGGTTGCCACCCACTAAATTGAATCCACAACCCTCTAATGGATTGTAACCTGCAATTGGAGAAATAGAAATACAGACTGGAAGATTCATTTTCATTATCAAGTTGAAAATCATTCACTTCTCCCACTGAAGTGGTCCTTTTGGTCCTTTCTCTGTACTATTTTTCACAATTCTATCAAAATCTTCTTCCCAAGGTACATGCATCAGTGAAAAAAGATATTTACATTCAGAGCCAAATAATAGGACTAATGCTAAGGGTAAATGCAATTCTCTTCCACCTAGAGAGCAATAGTTTGAAATGTACAATGAAAATGGGTGAAGACGAGCCAACAGGAGGCCACTTATAAGTAATAATGCCTGCTATCTAAGGCTTCAGAAGGAAGCCTTTTACTGTCCACAGTTTTCAATATAAGAACTTCACTTAATCTTGCTAGAAGAAAGTCAGGCATTTGGTACAATGATGTGATATGATGTGATGTGATGTGATGTGATGTGATTTAGGAAGCCCAAAACTGTTTTCCTGAGCAGTGCTAGGGCCTCTGTAAGTCCACAGCTCCCAAAAGTGTTCGGGGACTAAAGGATCCAATAGTCATGGCATTTTCTGTAGATCATTATGCTCTTTATGGAACATGATGAAATAATGACACATTCATTTTTTTCCTAAGAAAAAATTTACTAGCCGATCATTTATATGTAGTATGAACTCATAAGCATGACCTCAAGAAACAAAAACTTTGAACTGAGTACAATTAACTGTTTGGAGAGTTTTGGTTAATTAATTTGCTATTTCATCATTCCTGTTCTTACAGTCTGGTGCAAGGGAAAGGAAGCATTTTGTATGATAATTATATGGTAAAGTTCCTTCAATTATTACAATTGGGAAGGAGGGGATGTTTAATAATGCTACCCAAGAGGAGGCATGGCATTCTTATTTTTGCTCAGAGGAGGATTGGCAGTGACGGGTCAGATGGAGAAATGTTTTCAAGGTAGCTCCAAATGGGTTGTTTCTCTTCTCACCAGAAAGAGTAGAATGGAATCTGTCCCATCACAATATAGATGGCTGAAGCCACAAGCCAGAGTGTTCTGCAGAGCACACAATGAGCCAGAGCTTCAGAGCTCTGAAATGGGGAATTAAAAAATAAAAAGAAGTATATCCGGCATAATTCATAATCAGAGGCTGATATTTTATAGAACAGAATGGAAGAGACATACTTAGATTCACCGTTGATAAAGCCTTAATAATTAAAGTGAACTTTGAGTTTTGCATAACGCTGAATGAAAATTTTCTGCAAATATAAAGTATTTCTGGGCACCTGGGTAGCTCAATTGGTTAAGCGTCTGACTCTTGATTTCAGCTAAGGTCATGATCTCAGGGTTGTGAGACTGAGCCCCGCATTGGGCTCTACACTGGGCATGGAGCCAGCTTAAGATTCTCTCTCTCCCTCTCCCTTGGCACTCCATCTCTAAAAAAAAAAAAAAAATACTATATATATATAAATATAAATATTTAAAAAATATAGAGAGATAGTATTTCTCCAATATCCAGCACAGTGTCTGCATGTACTAAGCGACCTCTTGAAAGAATGAAGAAAAGAACAAGGACACAAAATCTAAATACATGCAACAAGACTGGATTGTGCCAAAGAACATCGGCAAAAACACAGACAGAACTGAAAGAGGCAGCTTTCAGATGTGAACCTAATCAAGGACAACTTGCCCGGCCCAGGGATCTACTGGTTCCTAGTGAAGAGTGCTGGAGTCGAGGCCAGGTCCTCTCCCCCATGGAGAATCCGGAGTTACTCTATGTCTAGTATGCTTAAATTACCTTTACCTTAAAATACCATTCACTAACTTCTGGCTTTGCAGTGTGTTCAGTTTAACAACGAAATTGCGTGTTTTCATAAAATCGCTACTTCTCAAAACCCCTGGGGTACAGTGGCAGAAAAACGCTTTGTTGGGAAGAACTGTCCCTGGCTATTTAAATCAAGATCCTAGTACCTGGTGGGGGGAACATAAAAACAGTAAGCAGTAATCCTGACAGAATAGTGCTGCAACAATGGGTACGTATTCCTAGGGTTGACACATATTACCCGCCACTTATTTGCCAAGTTTGTAGCAGGCACCAAAGTTGAATTTTAAATGAATGGAAGAGAAACTCGACCCTGAGGACATGTGTATACACTGACTTAAATGTTCTGTGATTTCAGGAAATCTGCCTGTTTTATTTAGTAAGGCAAACAATACAGAGTTTGGTGTCAATTGCAGTTGGCCAAGATACTGTGTCCTGAAGTGGGTTTCTGTGGAACACCGGTCTCATGAAAGACTAAGGGGTTCCACGGTCAGATCAGTTGGAGAAACCGTGTGTCCCAGCACCACCTCCCCCAGCCCCTCACATATATGCAGACAGATAGCAGAGTTCCTGGGAATCCTTGTGGTAAAAAGACTTGTTTCACTCTGGTTATACCGATTTACCTTATCATCCAAAGTGCTCTGGGGGATTTAAGGCTACTGCTCAAGGACCGCCCATCGTCTTGGAACACGTGAATGTATCCAGACTCAGGCTCCAGGTGCATTGGTTGGGCAGCTACCACGTGCCAGCCCTATGCTAATACCACACAGGAGGTCACTCACCGGGACCCAAAGTAGCGCCTCAGAGAGTAACAGACCTGGCCTTAGGGAATCCTGAAAGAAGGAGGCAATGGCTAGCTCATCTTTGACAGCGAGGAGAGTCAGAATTATCCTGATACACGATGCTCTGGGTGGAGAGGTGAGGAAAGGCAAGCAGAGATGAGATGACCTTGAGATGTCTAGGATGATCCCAGGAAGGGGAAAGCAGACTCAGAAATGGTTAATTAAAAAGAGGAAGAGAAAACAAGATGCAGAAGAACTCATGCCTGAGGCTTCTGTGGTGATTAGGTAAATAGTTCCCTGATATTTACAAAGAAACACGCCCTACATCTTGTTCCCAAAGTGCCTGAAAGCTGGCCTATTTCAGAGATAAAAGCAATGAGCAACCTAGAATTGGCAGCTTCTCAGGTACTAGAAAAGTAGCATCCCAAATTCTTCCTCCCTGCTTCCCCAACCTGCCTCTCTCTCCCTCCCTGCGTCCTCATAAAAGTGTGAATTGCCCACTACCATCCACTTTTGTCTTTCACTTGATAATGAACAGCAATTCTAGGCCACCGAATGGAAGCCAGACTCTGCTCTAACAGAGTGATTACTTCAGAGAGAGAGAGAGAATAACCTTCGCTGGCCCCTGAGGCTGGGAGGACAATGTAGCTAGACTTCAGGGTCCCAGAGGTCATGTGGCTCAGGATGTCCCTCCCCAGGGAATTCTCAGCAAGGGATGCCTCCCACACCACTGCCTGTGCTCTAAGCCCTGATGATAAGGGGTCAACAGAGCACAAGACTTAGTGCTTCCAGCCCCAGAGCCTGAGAGAAATTGGCCCGCACCTAGCAGAATAGACCAAAAAAAAAAAAAAAAAATCAGGTTGTCATTAGGAGGTGAACAGGAAGGGCTAGTTTTTTGTCCCCAGCACCCAGCAGAGTGTAAGAAACATAATAGCTACCCAGTCAGCGTGTGTTGAATAAATGAATGGCCCCCACAGAGAATGATACCAACTTCTGAAGTTTTTGTTTTAAAATCACAAGGCAACTTCTCTATCTTAGAGGGAAAGGTGAGCATATGTGGTACTCTAGATCCTTTTGGAACCCGGTGATTTAAGTAGACATGCTCCCAGCCTACCTCTTTGTTATACTACCTGGAGCCTCTGTGCCAAAAGATTGTGAGGTCCTATCTAGGTTCGGCAAGAGACAACGCCACATCAGATGAATGAGTCTGCCCCGGGCATGGCAGCATGAGCATCCTTTCTGCCCTGTCTCCACAGTCAAAACTCACAAGATACTTTCTTGGACAGACCTAGAAGACCCCAGCTGTTCGGACAACCATTTCCTATTCGTCCCACCTCCCTTGTACTAAGAGCTGGGTTTCTGAATGAGTTGGAATTAGTCTGCCTGGGTCCCAGAGCTTGTTTCTGATCTGTGCTAGAATGGGGTTGTAGGATATGAGTCATGGAACCGAAGCACTCCCCACCTGCCCAGACACAGTGTGCGAGGGCTAGCATCAGAACTCTCAAAGCAAATTAAAAAGGGTACAGCCTGGGAACGGTAACCATAGTCAGGAAGGAAGGAATACATGGGAAGCCATGATCTCTCAAACCCCTCCACACAGAACACCCCAAGGCAAGCTGGACTAGGATGTTTGCCCACGAAGTGGACACTGCCCCAAAGTATTCCCCTCCATGAACTTCACCCCAACGTGAGAGGGAGGGTCCCTTCCACTTGTTGGCTCACCTTCTAAGCAGCAACTCACCTCACATTCGTTGGCCAATCCCTTTGATGGGAAGGCCCAGTTCAGAAAGGTTAACTGAGGGTGAGGAACTTAGAGTCTGCTGACCCACACGTTGGGGTGTGTGTGTTTTGTTCCCCTCAGCTGAATTTCATAACCGTCCGTTCTGTCTACTCCGCTGGGGTAATTAGAGCTCTGATTATAGAGTCAGATGGCTAACCAAGTTGTTTGTTGCTTGGCCTCAGTAACAGAATGGATTCAGTCACTCTTACCAGTTGTCCCTTGCCATGGAAGAGCTGTTTCATAAAGAGCCTTGCGGGAAAGAAAGATAGAAAAGATCTATTAGAATCAGAAGCATCTGGCGCCTGGGTGGCTCAGTTGGTTAAGCGACTGCCTTCGGCTCAGGTCATGATCCTGGAGTCCCTGGATCGAGTCCCGCATCGGGCTCCCTGCTCGGCAGGGAGTCTGCTTCTCCCTCTGGCCCTCCCCCCTCTCTCTCATTCTCTCTCTCTCAAATAAATAAATAAAATCTTAAAAAAAAAAAAAAGAATCAGAAGCATCTTATCCTGGGCTATTTTAGATGGCTTCCAGCCAATCTCTTTGTAGCTCAGTATCTTTTCTGAGAATGGCAGTCTGGTTCGAATACTGTTATGTTTGAAGAATCGCATGATTTCAGAGCTGGAAGCTATCTAGCCTCTCACCAGCTATCTTGAGACTTACACGATTTTAAAGGAATTGGTAAACTGGGCAATTGCTCGGCTCCAGGAAGAAAGCTCATTGGAATGCTGACACACACACAAAAGAGCGCTTTACGATACACATCTAAAAGGCCGCAATTGTCCTCAGAGGACAAGGAATATGGGTGATTAAATGGTACGGTAGACCACTCAAAACAAGGGTAGATGCCTTCACAAAAAGGTTTTAGCCGTCACTGGAAGAAATGTTTCCTTTTAAGTTGATATAAAGACAGCTTTGTCAGCCCCACTATACGAAGAAACGACTAACGAATGCTTTATCAAAATACATATACAACTTTACGTTCAGCCTAAAGGAAGGGAATTGAAAGCTGGTTTATTTATCCATTTTATCAAGCAAAGGCACAATCAGAAAATGGAGTCCAATTGCCTGACAAAGTGCTTTGCATTTTCACTCCTAGGAGGGAGCAATTAGATCCTGACAAATGATCTTTTAAAGAAAAACAAATGTAAAAGAGATCTAGGACATACTTTAACCTTGAGCTAGCCAATTTCTAAATAATGTCAGGAAAGTTTCCTGCAAAATCAAGCATTCCAGAGGATACCACCATAAATCACACATTTTCCCCATTCCGGAACACATGCAATACCAACCTGGTCTTCAGTCGGAGGAAGGTTTGGTCCTGGCATGTGTACTCACCGCATGCAGGAAAGCTAGCAGCCCAGAGGGAGAGTCGGCACCGAGCGTCCGGCCGCTGGGCCCCACCATCACGAGTGCCTGCCTTTGCATTTCCCATGGTCCCCCTTCAGCCCCTGTGATCCCTCTTCTCCATTTTTGAAAGGGAAATCCAAGAGGTCCCGGTGCAAACCAGCCACCGATTGTGAGAAGCCTATCTGAAACCGCCCGGGGTTTCAAGGCCTGTGTAAGTCTGTGATTCACTCCACGATGGGTCCATCAAGCACGCCTAAGAGAAATTACAGGTTTCTCCTGTCTGGAGTAAAGCCATTATAATGAGTCACTGTTTGTGCTTTAATTCCCCATCTTTATCTCAGACGATCACATGAGACCGGGTTGCATCTACCGCCCCGGTGTAATTAGAACACAGGGGATAAAATGCAAAGGTGGGCAGGCCACTGTGGATGCTGAGTTTTAAGGGCTACCAGAGTTTTGCCTGTGTCGGTGCTGAACTTGGGGAAAAACTGGCTAGCAAATGGATCCGTAAATCGTGATCTAATCCCTACCTTACGCCAAAGAGATTTTCGTTTTATTTTTTAATAACTGGGCCAAGAGTTCTTACTGAGCCTCGGGCCATGACCGGGGGCAATTCAGATGCGGAAGGTGCAGTCTCAACTTGCAGGAAACTTCACATGGTCTGATTTCTGACAGGGTAGCCCGGCTGGATTTCCTCTCTCACCACCAAAGCCCACACATCCGGATCCTAGTGTCTCCTATTTACATACCCTCCTCCGAGCCCCAGAACCTAAGGCAATCCTCCATTTCAGTATCACCAGGGGAAGTGTTGACATGAAGGAGAAATAAGGGAAAGGCAATTTTGTTACATCTTTACGATGATGACAACTAAGGAGGCCACATTTGTGGAAATAGGTCATTTCTCCTGAGGTTGCTAGCTGAGTACCGGGTCATTTGGGAACTGGAAAAGCCAGTATCATCAATCCTGCGGTTGTGTAATCAGAAGCCTTTATTGAACATGTTCTTTGTGAAACACACCTGCTCTGCACTTCGGGCATACAAAAGGGAGTAACATAGTCAGCAAATCAAGCGAGTAACCCTACCCCCAAAGGTTTACAGTCTTATCTGAGAAAGAAAATATTCGCACACCAAAAGATTAAAGGTAAATAAACAATAAAACACAATAAATATAAAGTGAGTGGCACAGATTATAACTATTATAGGAATCAGGTGGGGACCATCAGCACTTCTGGATGGACTCATCAGGGAAGACTTCACAGAGAAGGCGAAAAGCGAAGCATAGCTCAGACACAGTGTGCCCTGAATAGAACCCCAGAGTCTTTCCCAGGCAGGGGACTCTGTATTACAACCACAGTAACACTGAATGAGAGAACTGTCCAATGATAAGCTCAGCAGATTTTGCTGGCTGATCCCCCTGATGTTGAACAGACTGAATCAAATGCTTAATTCTTTTATTTAGAAGTCAATGAACTAACTTCCATGAGGGTGTCAATGTCCAAACTCCTGCACAAGGCCACGCCTGTGTGTTTGCTTGGGTCTGTGTATGTACGTGAATTCACAGGTACTTTAACAAAGACAGCTAACATTTCAATGGCCAAATAGTATTCTAAGTATTTTACCTACACGTATTCATTTAATCTTTGCAACAACCTTATGAGGTAGACTCTATTTTTTTCAATGTGCGGTAGAGAAAATCAAAGTCTAAGGAATTTAAATAACTTTCCCAAGAATCATCATGTCTTAAGTGTCTAACCACGCATCAGCCTTAGACTCTGGTAGCACCAGTTTCTCCTTGAGCCACCTGACCAAGTCACTTCCTTGGTGAGGTGTGAGCAGGGCACTGAATATGTCTCCACTTGGGGTCTTCCCTAGTGGAATGGACCTCCTTTCCATTTTTCCCAGGGCTCTGCCATTCCTGGAACCCTAAACGTGCGGTTCAGACATCTTTCAGGAGGGGACAGACTGAATTGTGGGCTGCAGGAGAGAGGGCACAACTTCTTCAAGGGATTTCCAAAAACTTCTGGAGTTTCTCTGTTAGCATCCATGGGCCCTTTCTTGGTTAATAATAATCCCAAGGCCAAATGCCTTTACTGCCATCCCATCCTAGGAAGTGCTCTGCATCTGAGTAAAGCATGCCTTCATCCTAGATGGGACTGTTCCCTGCTTAATGCACATACAGATGAAAGACCAATCTCTCTCTCTTGTTCATGCCCAGAGTTCCCATCTATAAAATGAGGCCATTGGACCCAGTCCTTTCTAAAGTTTTTCCAGATTTCTAATCCTATAACTATTTGGCTTCATGAGATTCCATCCTCACTTCAATATATTGACTCTGGGTATGTCCCATTTCTTTGTACTGAGATCTCTGCATTATGAAAACAGGGACTGTGCCTGCCCCACTCTCTTCCCTAGAAGAGACTCGACAGAAATAACTAGGGAAATGTCAAGTTAAAATCCCTTTCTGACTTCATTTGAGAAAAATGTGACTGCTGTCGCAAGATAAGCAATGCCACTTGAAAGATGACTTACCTGCAAGTTGGTGTATTTTTCTACCTTCTGATTGACTTCTTATATTTTTTGCTTTTTCAAGCTTCCTTACTTAGAGAAAGTTTTTTACAGTAAAAAAGGAAGAGAGAGACCCCCTCATTCACAAAGTGTGTCTCACTTTCCCTTTTGTAATGTAACATCATTAACACTGGCTTCTTGGTAGGATAATTAGGGGCTGTTCACTGCCCCCTTTTCCTTTATCCACTCATTTCCTTCTGATGCATCAGCCTGGGTGCCTGCTTTATAAAAGAGCTTCCCCCCCACCCCCAAAGGAGCTTCTACCTATTGTACTGCTCTCCTATCGGGGGGCTCCTTGTTTGAACATCGAATTTGTTTACCTACAAGGTTAAGAAAATGAGCAGCTCTGTACTTGAAATATGATAGTCTCCCTTCCTCATCACTGGTTTCAAAAAAACATATTGTTGGTGAGGGTTAATCTTACATCATCAGAGTAGACAGAGTCCCTCAGTGGTTCCATGTCTTGAGGAGCAAGTCCAGAGCTGGAAGCCTGCAGACTTGGGTTTCTAGCTCTGGCTCAAGCCTGGATTAGCTATGACCCATCCCTCCAGGCTCCAGGCTCCATAACTTACAACGAGCATCTTTCTGGTTCAAAAGCTCTGTTTTCACTTGGCTCATGGCCAACTTTCCTCCAAGCCCAAGCCAGGCTAACTGTGCAATCCATTTAAATTTGGACAGGTGGACTATGCTGGCAGTTGGATTCCTTTTGTACACAGAACCAGCAATGACCTACTTAGAGTCAGCCCAACTCTTGGTGACTATTCATGAGGGCCCCTCCTTAGCAACCCACAGAAACCAGCCAGGTGACATCCCAGGCCACCTTGGCCAAGATGAACCAGACTCTCGTCCTGAGGATAAACATAACCCGACAGCATGGAGCTGGAGGCTCCAACAGGACCAAGGTCCTGCTGCAGCTCATTTTGTCTTTCTGTTCCCTTGTGGATGCCTGGCATGGCATATATGCATGTATGTTGACAGTTGTTGGGGAGAAATGTTTAGCAGCGAAGAACAGCTTAGCCAGGGGAGACTTCCATCCTTCCCATACTTCATGCACTCTTCCATCAGCACCACAGCATGGGAGGCTTCCTTCATACTCCCCGGAGGCAAGAAGACGGGAAGAAGCACATTTTTCCCAGGGCTCTGCCATTCCTGGAACGTATGACCTTCTCAAGAACAGAAAATCACAACTTTAATGTACAAGCAGCAAGAACCCAAAGCCTCACAACAGCTGCATTATGGGTTCACTCTTTCTGGAACAATAAGCCCCTTTGGGTCGAGTCCCCTGGGCAAATGGGAGTCTTTTAAGTCACTCTGGAATCCAGGGAATAGGCTGGTTTTCTGTTGCCTACAAACACTGAATTACAAACCTTGTCTTTCTGTAAGCTGGACCACTTCCTTTCCTCTTGGAAAAGACCCCTCTCTTTGTACAAGGCCCTGGGCTGCCACAGAAAGTCTCGGCCACACCGGCATACTGGAGCCCCGATGTACTGGGGTGGGGGGAGGGAGGGTCTGTCTGGATTTCTGAGCGCCTCTCTCTGCATCTCCCTCTGCTCTGTCTCTGTCACTCTCTGTGTGTTTCTGAGTGAGCCTCAGTCTCTCTATACATCTCTGTTTCTTTCTGTATTTTTCTGGGTCTCTCTCTGTAACACTTGGCCTCTCTCTGTGTCTCTCTGACTCACTGTGAATGTGGGTATCCTGTGGTGGGTGTCTCCATCTCCCTGTCTGATCTTCTCTCTCTAGATCTATAGAGACACGGACACAGAGGATTGGAAGACTTGTCTGCACATGTCCACATATCTGGGTGGCTCTCTTACAACCCAGAGTCACCACACCCCTCAGTGTCTCTGTACTTCTGTTTCCCCCTTCCCTCTGTTTCTATGTCTCTCTCTCTCAGACATTACCTCAAAAGTGAATGAACTTCTACATTATCCCTGAGGTCTCTCACAGATAATGTTTATGATAATTCCTTGATCTTTTCACACTAGGGAAAGAGAGGGGTCACAGTGGGATATGTGCAGATATTGTTGATCTCACGCCCTGGGGATGGGGGACTAGAGAGGGGAGGGGGCGGCAGCCACAGAGAACTGGCACCTCTGCTCACTGCCAGTGAGGAAATCATTCCTAATCACGACTCACATTGTGATGTTTTTAAAAGAAAGGTCATACAGATGGCATGTCTTTGAGAACCCCCTTCCTTCGCACTCACCTCCCAAGTTAGGAGTATGACCAGGTTTGTTAGCTTGGCCCTTTGGTGGGGTGACAAGAGAAATCAGTACAAAGGTTCTGTTGATGACAAAAGTACAATTGCACTTAATCATCATTAGTCCGTTTTCGATTATCACAATTATTCAAAGCACATAGAGAATGGTGACCTACAGCAATTGATCTTATCCTTTCACTCCAACCCCTCCTGCTTTATATTAGCACTGCTGACAACATGGGAACAGGCTGGTGTGAGGACTCCTCCACCCGAGCCTGGCCTGGCTCTCTCGCCTGAGGGGTCTCTAGTGTGGGAGGGAGGTGGGAGGAGGCAGGTGAGTGGCGTGGAGAGACCAAGCAACACTAGAATGCCTCCTAGCCCTCAAACAGCTCTCCTCAGCTGGCCTGCTGGAACCTTCCATGTTACAGTCATCCTTTTATAATGCACCCGAGTCTAAAACAGCCTCGTGTTTTTGGGAAATGTTGCTTAAGACAGGTAATGCGTTAACTTGCCGGTGGGATGATCCCCACATGAGCATAGATTAACGCACCACACTGGATGTAAAAAGAACTCAGACAAGCACATTTCGTATCCTGGGTATGGGGAGCCAGGACTGACACCCCACAGGCAGGTACTGTGAGGGGACAGAGTTCAGTCTGGCCTGTGGGAGGTTGCTACACAGGGAGCCCAGGTCTACAAGGCAGGAGAGAAGACAGATGATAAGCCTACTTCCTCTGAGGGGGAACTGACTTGCAAGAGCCTAAAGCTAGTGGGCAGAGGAAGGACTGCAAGAAGTTAGCATAAATTTACCCAGTTCCTAGACCCGTGGTTCATAGCCCTGGCAGCTCATCAGACTCACTGGGGAGTTTTAAAAATAAATAAATGAAAATTTTTTTAAGAAGTGACAGGCCCTAACCCCAAGAGTTTCTGGTTTAAATTTTCTTGGGTGTATGTGGTATTTTTTAAAAGTTCTCTAGGTGTTTCTAAGGTGCAGCCCGCATTGAAAACCACGGACTCCAACAACAAACAAACTGATAATAAAGTTCTGGGTATAATCTTGACTTATCTTTTATGTAAAAGCACCAAGAGAAATGGGCCAAATGACTATTTCTGGATAGCACTGAAGGGCGGAGTAGCCCCGTATGGCTGGATGGATCGTACTGAAATCCCATCAGAAAGGAGCCATGCCAAATTGGAAGGGATTGCAAGCGCCCGGCCTCTGGGAGAGCACCAGGCAGACCAGTGAGGCACAGGTTGGAGAGGGGGCGGTGTACTTTTGCCAGGCAGTCTGGTTAGAGCAAACATGTACAATGCTAGGCACTTCAGGAAGGCGTGGATGAGAGGGTCCCAGCCTCGACTAGGAGCTTGTAAAATTCCCAGACGCACCGCACACCAATCCAGTAAGACTCTCCAGGGGTGGGACTCAGGCAACACGATTGAAAGCTGCCTACCTGACTGCAATCTTTGGCTAAGGTTGAGATCCACTGCTTTAAATCACTATTGATGTTTATTCTCAGTAAAACGTAGCTTTTTAAAATTTCAGCTGGAAAGGATATGGAGGGGTCAACCATCCCCCAGGTTTGGACACCAAGGACCAAGTTTGGGTAGGAGTAACACCAAAGGACCTAGGAAAATAAAGGGAAGAGCAAGGAGGGAAGGTAAAAGGGGGATGAAGGAAATCAAAAGAGAGACTAGAAGGGCAAGGGATACCGGGTGGGGCAGTGCTGCTACTCAGGGCCACAAGGTGTGGCCCTACTGTGGGTATGGATCCCATCCAATGTTGGCGTGCAAAACTCCACATTGCCTCTTCTCTTGTGATTGGGAATGTCCCCTGGGCCAACCCTGATGCCCCTTCTGCTGCCATCCAAACATTTTCCCGTGTTTCCCTCACTCAGAACAGCTGAGGGGTCGGAGCTTGGCATAACAATACCTGGTTTCTGCACTGTGCGAGTGAAGGTCAAGGAAAGGGCGTGTATGCAACTAGACTGGAGAGCCTTCTCTACCGCACCGCTGAGCCGGCCCCAGCCTTCCTTTACATCTCCAGTAACCGTGGCAACCAGCCCCTCTTGAAAATCAAGCTATTGGGAAGTTCTTTGTGTAGCTGCAGAATTTGTTTCCCTGGACTTCCTCACTTTGTATGTGGCTCAGCCAACTGGAGTCAGAGAGAAGGAGCAGGCTGTCACAGGAAGATCAGATTTTCTCTGCTCTCATTTCTGTGCTTGGGCAGGGGCTTGCTCCCCTGCTGCCTAGGTTGAGGTCTGCCCCCCGCAGCAAGCCCCCACCCCCATCCCCTGCCTGGCCACTCTCTTCTGAATGCATCTAAGTCTGCTTTCTTCTCTTTGGCTGTGGTGCCACTACTCCAGAAAGAATCGGAGCAGCTCAAAGAGGTGCTCACGGGGCACTTTGGAAACACCCATACCACAGAGTGTTGGGGTGACAGTTTTAGGAACCCTCCACATGCAATAACGAGTATGAAGGCTTTACCTCAGGTATTCTGGAGACCCATTTTGCAGAAGTTACTCGACTCTTCAAAGCTTCTCTTATCTGGAGAGAGAACAAAAGGAGTTAAAAGATTATGAGAAGTCAACACAGGTGCTCAGGCCGGGCGAACACTCTGCTGAGAGAGTGTGTGACCAGCCAGGCCCTGGCAGTGGGATGTGTGGGGTGAGCAACTGGGAGGAGTGCTTCAGGAGAAGGTGGGGAGAGGGAGAGACATAAGGACATGAGTCTGGCACAGGAGACTCCGACTCAGAGGGTAGAACCCGTGGCTACGAAATACAGTTTGCCCCAAGTTGGAGGAATCTTTGATTTCACTTTGGGAGTGGGTTTTTGGAGCACTTGAATAGTTAGACATTTCCCATAGCTTGCCTGTTATTTGAGCCCTCCTTTCTAGGGGCGCCTGGGTGGCTCAGTCGGTTAAGCGTCTGCCTTTGGCTCAGGTCATGATCCCGGGGTCCTGGGATGGAGCCCCGCGTCAGGCTCCCTGCTCAGTGGGGAGCCTGCTTCTCTCTCTCTCCCTCTGCCTCTCTGCCCTTCTGCCCTTCTGCCCCTGCTCATGCTCTCTCTCTCATATAAATAAATAAAATCTTTAAAAAAAAAAAAATCTTTAAAAAAAAAAACCAACCCTTTCTAGAGGCCAATCCATAGTTTAAAAAAAAAAAAAAATCCTATGCAACACAGCAAAAGTCCATGGAATGAAGAAAATAAGAGTAATAAATAACAATTATATTTTGTTTTTTAAATATATATTAAATAGATTTCACATAAATATAAATATGAAATGTAAATATATTTAATACATATTAAATAATATATCACATATATAATTATATATTGTATGTTAATGTAATCAATAATAATATAAATTGATCTAATATACTAATAAAGCATGCTTATGTACTAAATAATATAAATAATATATGATATATTGTATGTTAATACTAACATGATATGTAATAATATAAATTAATATAATGTTAATAAGGCATGCTTATATATTAAGTAATTTATTAATATATCAAATACATTTTGTTTCTTAAATTATATTTTGTTTTATATTCATACATTTTTTTAAAAACTCTTTAAAGCACTTTTCATGCCTATCATCTCATTTTATTCAAGAAATAATCCTGTAAAATAGATACTATTATTTCCATTTTACAACTGAGGACAGTAAGAGCAGGAGATGAAGTGACATCCAAAGTCAGCTGACTCCTGAGAAGAACTGAGACTTGACTTCATGTGCCCAGACTCCAGACCAACCTGTCATTTTCCCTACATCTCTCGTGCTGAATGCAGGCGCTGTCTTATTTCTATTCCATCTTCCCTTCTACTTCATAAAATGTCATTCACCTTCCAAGGCCTTCACAGTTAAGAGGTACCAAACTCCTCCAGCTCAGAGTGACTTCACGCTTCCCAGAAAATGCAGTATTCTTTGTCACACACGGGATCCAAAGGGGGAGAAGCACTCCCTGGGACTTGGGGGCTGTGCACTCAAGGGTCCATGGGGATATGGGGAGACAACCTGGGCCTTCTATTTACATCTCTTTCTTTCTCATCCTTTTTAAATTTTATGTTTCATAACGTGCAAAATACATACTTTGTAAATTGATAATAAACCCATCTGGGGACATATGTTCACTGCCTTTTACTGATCCTAAAAAAAATGTGAGGATTACTGGCATAAACAACTTTATGTCAATTAATCATGTATGGTCCTGTGACATCTTTGAATCTTGACCTTTTACACTATAATGTTAAATGTAAGAGGTTTTGATCTTGATAGAAAGTTCTATGTCTTAGAGTTCTTTGCACATCTCATGACACCTGGTAAATTAATAAGTAATAATGCTGCTGCTGATGCTTTGACAATAAATACTAGTTGTGGTATTATGATTAATAAAAAAATAATCATATGGTATACAACTGTGAACTACCTTAAATGCTCTCTGTGTTTGTCACTTGCAAAATCACATTTGTTCTTTACCAGGATCTAGCAGAAGAGGCAGGAAAATCATCATTATCTCTGCTTTCCATTTGGAGGATCTGAGTTCCTGAGAATTAAGGAACTCCCCCAGTGGCGCAGAATTAGTACACAGAAATAGAAAGACTGAAACACTAATACTCTACCACCTCTAAATAATTTTTATTAGGTCGATATGTTATTCTAATAACAAGATAAAGGACCAGTGTGAAATACCTCTTTCATAAACCTCAGCTATTAACTTAATAATAGAGTTAATTAATTAATTAATTAAAAATCAACCCTGCAGTGAAGGTGTTTGCATCTACATTCGAGAGAGTTGTTTACTTTGCTCACTCTAGGAGGCAGCACAGTACAAAGGAAAGAGGGTGATCTCAGAAGCCTGAGGAAACATTTGATACTTCATGCATGTTTCGTTTTTTGATATTTCACGCATGTTTCGTTTTTTG